GTCCACCTAGAATAAAATTTCTGGCTCCTCTTTTAGTTCCATCCTTACAAAAAGGCCTAAAAAGTCTAAATTGAACAATTATTGTGTCCAAAAAAAAAAAACACACAAAGTCAACTTTTAAAGTCATGCACAGTCACAGTTGATCCTGAAGCAATATAAGAGAAACGGTTCAAAAATAAAACAAAACGTTCCAATTGAGATGTCAAAGTATAAAAAGAAAATACAATGACTATGTATAGAATACTATTGATAATACATGTATGTGCTATTTATATAAAAAAAAAATTCAAAATTAAAAAAGCAATAAACTTTTATTTAAGAATAACAATCTCACAACAAGATTGAATGGATTAGCCACACAATAAATTGAAAAATATAGTTTAGTAAAACTAATATTTAAATTTTTAATTAATAATTTTGCATCTCAAAAATCCAAGAAAATAAAGTAGTGGGTTTGTATCTAGGAACACTATAAATGGAATAAAATGAGAATTAAGACTTTTGTTATGCTTTGAGAAGAATTTAAGTAAATCCACAGACAGTTCAGATTGCGCATAACAAGGAAAGTTATTTTTGACATGGTCTTACAAGACTGCTTACGATGGAGACTCAGGTTGCTGTCCTTTGAAATCAAATTTGTCACCTTTGATTTCTTTGATAATTGTGTCGAGCAGTGGGAGCTCGTAGGATGAAAGAGGCTCAGACGACGACGACAGTGGTGGGTGGGTGGTGGTTGTGGCTCGATGGACAATGGTGGGGGTGGAGGGGTCTCGACAGACATAGCTAATGCTTTAAAGAAATGAAGAGAGAGAGAGAGAGAGAGAGAGAGAGAGTTCTTTTGGATAAGGTTTTTCCCGAACCTAGCCTCTCCAAAAATTTATTCCCCTAAAATCCAGTTGATTTGAGAAATTTGGGGTCTGATTATAAGTCGTAGAAATCATGCAAAAAATTGGGGTTTGACTATAAGTCATAGAAAAACATCATTAACATTGACGTTTTCTACCCACTAATTTTTTTAATATTTGTTGTATTGCCCTTTTTAATTCACATTTTTAACATCATTCTCACTGAAACCTTTAAAGATGTCATTTTAAATGACGATTTAAATAAAAAAATTTAATTTGAAATCGTTATTCTAAATGACGTTTTAACCATTAAGACATCATTTGGAATTACGTGTTTTTAAAAATATTGAGTTTAAAAAATAAGTTTAAAATAAATTGGGTTTGGGGAAAAGCTCAAATATTAGGACTTTTTATCAATTTAAGGGGTTCCCTATTGCATTACACGGCAACAGAAATTAAGATTCTAAATATGAGCAGATACGAATGAATGGCATAACTTGAGTACACAAGAATCCAACTTTCTAAAAGCATCACCTACAGGCATAGTTCAGGTGGTTGGTTTATATAACCAGCTGCCATCTCCGAGGGTCAATTGGTGGAGCCATGTTGAGGCCTCAGATCATGGCTTATGCCCCCTTTATCTAACCCCTCAATATATTGATTCGATGATGGAGAAATTCAATATTGAAACGTGTTATCAATTCAACTGAGTGTGGCCTGTTCCTTATTTATCAATTAAAGATTGTAAATGTGGACACAAGTAAATGCATGGTATAACTTGTGTGTTGATCTAATGATAAGACAGCGACATATATTTAGAAATATCAAGTGTCTAAATAACTTGATCTTGCATGTTCAAACTCACTGATATTGGAGTATGAATCGAGCTCATCTCGTATTTTGAACTACGCCTGAACAAGAAATGTAATTAGGTGTACAAAGCTCGAATCGAATTTAAACACCATAATATACTTTGGAGTTGAACTCAAGCATACTCATATTGTGGAAGCTGACTCAATTTACACCCCTTAATAGCATTGTGTCAATTTTTACCCACTGTCTTAAAAACGACATGAACTCGATTTGACACAAAATTGTCATTAACAATTCTAGTTGGTCACACTGATAAGGGGTCGCAGTATATTATTCAAAAACAAAGATGAAATCACTTTATTTGTCAAACTCGTGAATGGGTCACAGTGTGATTGACCCTACTAATTGAAACAAAATTAGGTTAGTTGCACAAGGATAAACCCAAATTGTAGAATAGACTTTAATGAGTTTTGCACCAATAGTCTGGCTTGAATCCGTGAGATTATTCTTTGTTATCGCTTGTCACGTAAAATTAAAATTATATAAAATAGATGAAAAAAATATATTTTTCAATGGATTTTTTCAAAAAGTGGTCTACATGAAACAATAAAAAAGGTTGAAGAAAAAAAAAATATAGAAAAACCTTGATTTTTGGAATATAAATTGTATCACTCTTGGGTCAATCCTTGAATGAGATCAGAAATCTTGACCAATATTGTACCAAAACAAATAAAAAATCTGGTTAAGTATTGCGCCAGATAGGAATTGGAGGACCAAGACAAGAAACAATGATAAGGAAGCGGCTTCGTTAGGCAGTTGAAAGTTGAAAATTATAATAACGAATAAGAAGAACATCCAAGTTGTCAAGTAGTGGTGGTTATCAAACATTGAAATCTGATTAATTTTTAAGATTGGCAGATATGGTTGTTGTGATCATAATAAATTTGCTACACCAAATAAACATTCCCCTAGACATCTTTATAAATGTGGTGGGCGGCGCTTTGCAGACGGCGATGTAAACAAACATAGTAATATTATAGTGACCAAATTTTAAGATCAAATTTGGAGTCCGAATGACAAGAGTTGACTGAGGTATTCGGATCCATCCGCAGTAAAATAAATCATCCTTTTTTACAGTAACACTAGGTTCAATGACGAAAATCCATATTTAATGTAGGATAAGACTGTTGGACCTACAAATAATGGGTAAATCCAATTTTGTCCCCTAAAACATTAAAAAATTCTCATTGTGTCCCTTAAATAATTAACTTTTTTTATATTTTCTCCTCAAAAAATAAAAATGTTGTAATGTGGTCACCATCTTATTTCATTTGATCTTCCGTTTGTTTTATGATTTTTGATTGGTTGATTTGATACAAAGAAGACGAATAATTAAACGGAAATAAGACGGTGAATCACATTACAACATTTTTATTTTTTTAAGAAAGTAATGTAAAAAAATTAATCACTCGAAAGGCAAACTGAGAATTTTTTGTGTCTTTGAAGGGACAAAATGAAATTTTCCCACAAGTAAATGATTTTGGGTCCTATATTTTGATTTGTTTATTTCTAATAAATATTCATAAAAATAATAAAATAACTTGATATATGTTGTATTTTGATTGGATAAAGAAAGAGTTATGGTATTAAAAATTATTTTTTTAGTGTCATGATTTAACCCCATATATTATTTGATTGTTTCGATAACAAATGCATCTAATATTATGACTTATTATCAATTCAACGAATGTGGCGTGTTATCTATTGCATTACACGGCAACAGAAATTAAGATTCTCAATGTGAGCAGATCTGAATGAATGGTATGACTTAAGTGCTCAAGAATCCAACTTTGTCAAAGCATCAACTGCAGAAAAAGACATGGTTCAGGTGGTTGGTTTATATAACCAGCTGCCATCTCCAAGGGTCAATTGGTGGAGCCATGTTGAGGCCTCCGACCATGGTTTATGCCCCCTTTATCTAACCCCTCAATATATGGATTCGATGATGGAGATATTCAATATTGAAACTTGTTATCAATTCAAGTGAGTGTGGCGTGTTCCCTATTTGCCTCGCATGGCAACAGAAAAGATTGTAAATGTGGACACAGGTGAATGCATGGTATGACTTGTCTGTTCATCTAATGATAAGGCAACGACATATATTTAGAAATATTAAGCGTATAAGTAACTTGACCTTGCTTGTTCGAACTCACTAATATTGGAGTATGAATCGAGCTCATATCACATTTTGAACTATGCTAGAACAAGACATGTAATTAGGTGTACAAAGCTCGAGTCAAATTTAAACACCATAATATACTTTGGAGTTGAACTTAAGGATACTCATATTTTGGAAGCTGACTCAATTTATACCCCTTGATAGCATTGTGTCAATTTTTACTTACTGTCGTGAACACGACATGAACTTGATCTGACACAAAATTTGAAAATGACATGATAAATTGAAACAAATAATAAATGAATCAAATTAAAGTTAAGACATAACATGATTAATAAGTGTTGTAAGTAGAAAATATGAATTTTATAATTTTTGATATTTTTTTATATAAGATCATATGAATTATTTTAAAATTAAATAATTTATTATTAACATAAATGTTGACACAAACACGTCACGCATTAAAAATGACAAATAAATGCCAATTACTCTTTTCTGCTTGTTACAATTGTCATCATCGTCATCTTAGATGCTAATCACTTCATCTTTTCTGCTGGACTCCCCCTCCTTTCTTGTCCAGCCATTGGAATTGTTGATAAGACAACCAGAATAATAACTAGTGGTTGAGCTTACTATGGCTTTTCCACTATCAACAACCTGGCAGCAAACTCAACAATATGCTTATGGGCAAAAAACAAGTATCTAAAAGATATTAGTGATCGATGATACTGAATGGGAATAGGTCCATACAAAGAGTAACCACTTTATATAGACAGAGAGGGTGATGAGTAAGTCTTGAGTAACCTGCAAAACAAGTGAATGCATAGGTGAACCGAAAGCCGGAGGCAGCTAAAGGGACTCTGATACTTAAGTCAGTAAGTAAGTCGAAAAAAAATGTATATGGTGAATGAGTTAGGATTGAATGACATACTTGGTACTCGTAACCTTTATTTATAGTGACATAGGTAGCCGTGTTCCAAGTAGAATCGAACTTTAGGTTGTGATAGAATAGACCTCATCACCAATTCTCTAGATGTTCGAGATAGAATTTAAGACGTTGAGTTCTAACTTGTAAGAAGGGCTGGGAGGCTTTGTTTATCAATGTTCACTTGATAGTCGGAGTAGAGTTTTGCTAGGACTCTAGGTCCTGAGTCAATCCTTAGCCAAGTAGCAAGCTAGGCGCTAGACAGGGGCAACGCCAAAACAAGGGGCATGGCGGCGCCAGGTGCGATAACAAGGCCAGGCACAAGGCTCTCAGGCGATGGAGGCAGGGCAAATATGTGACGTCGTGGAGGACTGGTAGGGCGACGCTGTGCCAGCTGAGCGGTGCCAGGGCGCCAGGCACTCTGTTGGCTAGGCGTTGGGATGGTTGGCTATGGACGTTGCTGGGTTGGCTGGCTATAGGCGTTGCTAAAGTGCTACTTGAAGACAGCTGTGGTGGGCGACGCCTAGAGCTACTAGAAGCCCCTTGTTCTTGTTATGTGGGCGACGTCAGCCCCACGATTGCCCCCATACCTCCTTTAATGGAGTAAATTAAATGAGGTATAAACTTGGCTCTCTTTTTCGAGTGAGGTAAATCTATAACTCCCCTCCCTCTTCTTTCATCCTTCACTTGTCTTTGAGCTTTTTTGAGAGGATCTACCACCACTGAAGTAGTGGCTAGCTAGAAATTTCCTTTCTGTGTAATTTTCGAAAAAATTTCTATAGGCCCCAAGAGTAAATCTTTGAATGTTCTTAATCATTTTGAAGTTTTGAATGCCATTCATTTGTTCCTCATGTGTTCTAACTTAGTGCCAACACTTCCAGGATCCCAGGATGGATGGTGAGGTTAGCCGAGCTAATTGGTGTTAAGCTCACCCATTAGGATGTGCTTGATTAATACTGCCTTAAGGTCGTGCCTAATTCAAATGCCAAGTATTACCTCTTAAGTAGAAGGAACCATCTGCTTCACTGTATAGCTTCTTCGGCTAAGGGCTATGGGGATGAGTTCATTATTGTGACTGGGAGTTTGACCCTAATGCCACTAATGACCGTTCTTGCCCCCGCACCATTGGAGAGCTAGGTTGGTAACTAACACCTTCTTGTTGTTTCTATTCACTGCTTGATCTCTTGCTATTTTTTTAGAATTACTTTTTTGTGTGCCTGCTCAGCTACACTTGACATATGTATGATAAGGAAGCATAGTAACGGTGAGATTGTTAAATCCTTATACACCCCCTTGGAAGGTTTTGTGTATCAGTGTTTCCTACAGGTAAGTTTATTTTTTTATCTTAAGTCTTTGAATTGCAACCATGGAAGTTGGCGTAAGGGATGCAATCGTAGAGGTTGGCTTTAGAAATGCAACTGTGGAGGTTGGTTTTAAGAGGTGCACCCGTGGAAGTTGACTTTAAGAGGTGCAACCGTAGAGGTTGGCTTTAGGAGTGCAACCATGAAGGTTGACTTTAGGATTGCAACAGTGGAGGTTGGTTTTAGGAGTGCAACTGTGGAAGTTAGCTATAAGAGCTACAACCGCGGAGGTAGGCTTTGAACAGAGTTGTAAAGAACAAACTTCTCTTTATTGATGATACAGAACGAATGTCATTGTAGACTTATTGAAATGATAAGATATTATTATCTAGAAGTAAAACTTTCTAAGATTGATGATATTCCAAGTTAAGCGAACTGGTTTACCATCGAGCTCCTCCAGCTTATAGGCTTCTGTCCCTGCTCGTGTTGCGACCCTATATGGTCCTTCCTAGTTAGAGCCCAGCTTGCCATCCATAGGCTTCTTAGTCTGAGCAAGAACCTTATGAAGAACCAGGTCACTAGGTGTGAAGCTCCTTTCTTTGACCTTCTTGTTATAAGATCTGTCTAACTCTTGTTGATATGTTGCCAGCTGAACCATTGATTGGTCCTTTCTTTCTTCAATAAGATCCAAGTTATGTTCAAGGGTTTGATCATTGTTACCTTGCTCATAGACCTTAGTTCTTATAGTTGGTAAACCTACTTCAAGAGGAATAACGACCTCTGTACCGTATGAGAAGAGGAAAGGCGTCTCTTCTCATACGGTACAGAGGTCGTTATTCATCTTGCCCATTTGATTGAGGGTAAGCAGGGGAGGAATAATAATTACGGACCCCATATCCTGAACAGAATTCTTTGAACACTAAGCTATCAAATTGAGTGTCATTGTCAAATATAAGGGCACAAGGAATTCCATACCTTATGATTATATTCTCTCATACAAACTTCTTGGTATTAGTATCGTGGATGTTGGAGAGGGGCCTGGCCTCAACCCACTTTGTGAAATAATCTATTGCAGTGATGAGATATCTTTTGTTTGATGAAGCTAGAGGAAGGGGACCTACTATGTTGATACTCCATTGAGCGAATGGCCAATGACTTATGAGTGAGCTTAGGTCACCTACTGGCTGTCGAGGTATAGTAACAAACATTTGACACTTGTTACACTTCCTGACATATACTTGTGTATCCTTTTACATATACGACCACCAATACCCCTGGGAGATGGCCCTTAGGGTAAGGCTTCTTCCTCCAGTATGGGCACCGCATACTCCTTCGTAGATCTCATAGAGTAGATCCTCTACGTTACTAGGGTGGACACATAGTAAATACAACCCTGAGAATGACCTCTTGTAGAGCTTATGATTCGGTGACAACTAGTAATGGGCTGACTTTGATATGATGAGTCTTGCTTCCTTCTCATCTTTTGGGAGAGTCCCATTCTTAAGTTATTGGACAAGAGGGTCCATCCAACTCGGTTATCACTCTGCACAATTAACCTCTACTGGGTCCTCATGTATACTTGGTTTCTTGAGATACTTCTCCTCAATCGTTTGCTTTAAACCTTGTTTGTCAGCTGAAACTAGAGTAGCAAAAGCATCTGCATGTTCATTCTAGTCTCTTGGGATCTGGATCACCTTGTAGGACTTCAACCATTCAAGCAAGTCAGTTACTTTTTCTAGGTACGAGGTCATACTGTTTGAACAAGCATTATACTCCCCGAAAATTTGGTTAACAATCACCTGGGAATCGGAGTACATAGTCAACTCTTCTGCCCCCAGTCTCAATGTAGCCCATACATCAAAGATTAATGTTTCGTACTCAGCCTCGTTGTTGGTGACAGTGAACCCCAACTGAAGAGCCTGCTCCAAGACTTCCCCATGAGGGGAGAATAGGACAATACTGGCTCTGAATCCTTTCTGGGTTGAGGGTCCATCAACTTGTAACTCCCAAGGTTGGGACCTGAGAGTCAAGCTCCATGCTATTACCTGTTCTTTTGGTAGTTCATACGTGAACTTTGCTATGAAGTCGGCTAAGACTTGAGCTTTAATCACCGTTCTTGGAATGGATTTGAGGTTGTACTGCCCGAGCTCAAGTAACCACTTTGCAATGCGACCAGAGAGATCTGCCTTACCAAGTAAACTCCTCAAAGGGTGCCTAGTGATTATCGCAATGGTATGTGCTTAGAAATAGTGGTTTAGCTTGCGAGAAGCTATAACCAAGGAAAAAATGAGTTTTTCGAGGGGGCTATATCTGGTCTCTGCCCCCAATAAAATCTTGCTTACAAAATAGATAGGCTATGATCCCTCCTTTCTGCCCATAGCAATACTCCACTTATAGTGTGTTCGGACACGGCTAAATAGAGTTGAAGCTCTTTCCCCTACGAAGGAGTGGAGAGTAAAAGAAATGTTTGAAGGTAGCTTTTCAAGTCATCAAGGGCCTTATCATACTCATCATCCTAGTGGAATGACTGACCTGCTCTAAGCAACTGAAAGAAGAGTCTCCATTGGTCTAAAGATTGACTGATAAATCAGTTGAGCGTCGCAGGCATGCACCAAGTGTCCAAGAACTTCCCGGAGCTCACTCCAAAGGCACACTTTGAGGCATTAAGCCTGAGCTTGTGATGCTTCAAGATATCAAATATGTCTTGAAGGTCAGAGAAGTGGTTCTTTAACTCCTTTCTCTTAACCACCATATCATCTATGTACACCTCTATCGTTTGGCCGATCATGGAGTCAAAGAGTTTTGTCACCATTTTTTTATAAGTAGTTCCTGCGTTCTTTAAGCCGAAAGGCATGACCTTGTAGCAATAGATCCCCTTTGGTGTCATAAACGTTGTCTTCTCCTCATCAGGCCCAAACATAGGAATTTGATGGTAGCCTTTATATGTCTCTAAAAAGCTCATCCTTGCATGGCCAGATGTTGCATCCACAAACTTATCAATTTTCGGGAGTGGGAAGGGGTCTTTTGGGCAGGCCTTGTTAAGGTCTGTGAAGTCGACGCATACTCACCACTTTTCATCCTTCTGCTTGACCACAACGGTGTTTGACAACCATTCTAGGTGTTGGACCTCCCTTGTAGCACTGGCCTCCAAGAGCTTGCCCACTTTTTCATCGACAGCTTCTGCATGCTGGAGGGCGGGCCTCCCACTCTTCTGAGTGACAGGCTTGCGAGTAGGGTCTACATTAAGATGATGGCTAGATAATGAGGGATCAATACCTAGCATCTCATAAGGTGTCCAAGCAAAGATCTCAATGTTCCTCCTTAGTAGCCCAATAAGAGACTCCTTCTTAGGTGTAAGTAGCTGTGACCCGACCAAGAAGTATCTATCCGAATTTGTTTGATCTACTGGTATGACCTGTAACTCTTCGATTGACTTTTCTTTGGGATTGACCCCCTACGTCCTTAACCAAGGGGAAACCTTCATAAGCTATGAGCACCTGTTATGACTTGCCCATCAATTTAGCCACTACATTAAGGCACTACTTAGATGTAGCTTGGTCTCGGTTAGGGAAGCGTAACATCTGATGGTAAGTGGAAGCTACCTCTCGTATCTGGTGAAGGCATGGTCTCCCAATGATGGCATTGTACAGTGACGGAACATCCACCGCTAGAAATTCTACACCAACCACTTGTATACCGGCCTTAACAGGGAGCCGCAATGTACCATGAGGCTAGACTTGCATGCCATTGAAGCCAACAAGTGAGATTGTCATTGGGAGGAGGTCAACTTGAGTTTTTCCCAACTTCTTGAACAGGTCATAATACATGATCTCCATTGAACTCCCAGGGTTAATGAGCACATGCCTTACTTCAGAGTCTCTTATGTTGAGAGTGAGAATGAGGGGGTCATTATGTGGGTGGACACCCTTCCAAGTCCACATCTGAGAATGTGATAGGAACACTCTCTGATTCTGACTTTCAGTGCTTGGACGTATGACCACCTTGGTGATCTACTTGCATAACATGCTGAAGATGGAGGACTTGAGAGACTTAGTCCAAGACTGAACCAAGTCAACTTGCATTAGAGGAGTGGTGCTAAAGATGACATTTATTACCTTGGGAGGCTGGTCTTCTCGAGGTTGATCTTCTTGTTGAGTTCGTTGTTCTGCCTGCTCCTTGCCAGGCTTCTCCTTGTTTATGTATTGGGATATATGACCTTACTTGACCAACTCCTCCAAGTGGCACATGAGAGAGCGAAAATTCTTCATTCGGTGGCCCTTATCCTTGTGGTAAGAGTAGTAAAGGT